AGAGTATTGAAAAGCAAGGATGTTACTTTGAGGACTAAGATGTGCCTGGCCCAAGCCGTGTTATTTTCTATTGCATCATATGCTTACGAAAGCCAGACCTTTTGTTTCCTTACTTTAAGAAAACAAAAGTTGGGAGAGCCTATGAGATCATGTGATACTCCTCATGCTGCAATTAGGTGCAAAGAATGTACAACTTCATTGCCTTCAGCAACCCAAACCAAGCTCACAGCCATCAAATTAATTCTGGCTCATAGGGACCCCATAGGACAGGGTGCAACCCCCCCCCTGCCCCCGTGGGTTTCTGAGACTGTGGATCTCGTTGGCAGTAGAAAGCCTCATCTTTCCCCCATGGAGCAGCTGGTGGTTTCAAACTGCTGACCTTGGGGTTTATAGCCCAATGTGTAACCCTCTATGCAGCCAGCTCTTCCATCAGCAAGAGCATTCAACAAGTATTTAGCAAAGGCAATGTGCCCAGCACTGTGATCAAGGTTGGTGACAACAGTACCCACCAGTCTTTCTCCCTGCCTGTAAGGGCTTCTCAGCTAACTGGGGAAGAACAAGAGACTGTTCCAGCAGCTCTGACATAATTCCATAGATTCTCGTATTTGCTGATTCTGGTATTTGATTTGACGCTTGTCTGCCTGGCTCAGGGGTTGGAGCACACATGAATTTTGATTAGCTTCAGTTGCACATAGAAAATTGAAATGATACCGATGCAAGATGAATACTTATCACTCACATAGAATAGGTCGTAGCTCCTTGAGCACCAGGAGCCCTGGGCCTTCCATATTTCTGCTCCTCTCATGCAGCATGAAGCTTCCAGGATCAAGGTCATCAAATGGTCTATGATGGGTGCCAAAGATTCAACTCAAAACCAAACTCACTGCCGCCGAGTCAAATTTAACTCATAGTGACCCTGTAAGACAGAGTAGTGTGAACCCAATGAGAAGAAAGCCAAAATCCACACCACGGGACCAATAGGTTACACCATGATAACCTGAGAAAAGACCGGAACTGCCAAGGACTTTGTTTTTCGTGGATCCACGATCCATGCTCATGGAAGCAGTAGTCAAGAAATCAACTAA